GTTCTGGGTTGCACGAGGCTGCAGCCTCCAACCTGTTCATATATGGGTGAATGCACACTGTGGGCAGGTTGCCAGTCTATCAGATGGTTAACACATAGAGCCAGACAACCATTCGCACTCACATTCACACCTGTGTCCAATTTAAAATCACCGATTAAACTAACACCTTTCATTTTTCTGAACTGTGGGAGGAAACCGGAGTACTCAGAGAGCACGGATGCAAATGCCACATTGAAAAGCCCCAGCCTGTATTCACACCCAGAACCACCTTGCTGTGAGGTTACAGTGCTAACCAGCTAAACAGTAAATCCTTAAAATTTACAAGTGAAATTAATATTTTAATTCCCTGTTGGTGGACACAGCTGCTTTTCTGATGTTACACCTTAAGAGTGTAACATCAGAGTTAAGAGTTAAGTTAAGAGTGCAAACGTGCTTTTTATTGCTTGAGAACCTGCATGACCCCCATAGGTATTATGGACACAGGTGTCCCACTTTATGTGGCAGTGCACATCATTTATATCCCTTATTCCCCTGTCCCACATACTGGCACAGTAGCCCATATTTTGATTTTGGCTTTACATATATATGTGTGTGTGTACATGTGTCCATATATATATATTTCACCTCACAAGAAAGACGAGGCTCAAAAATGTGATTCCTACTGAAATCCAAAGATGACTACCTGAAAGAAAACCACAAGCGAATACACAGGTGCAAAAAAGGCCATAGCATAAAAGAAACAGTGGGAAAATTACATTCAATATATCCTTATTATATGTCGCCTTCACATGATCTCTTTATCATTTGTTAAGTCATCTATCAACATTTCAGGCTAACTCTCACTATTATTAGTGTTCCACAATGTCCTCTCACATTTAATTAGTTGGGATCAGGCCTTATTATGTATACGTTTCTACCTTTAGGTGCTTGTGCTGTATAAATCTACCCTTATTTCTGAGAGTGTAGAAAGAAAGAACTAGTTCACACCATTATCTCTTGTTTCTGCATCGTCATCAGGGAGGGAAACCAGTTTGTTTAACTAGTCCTCAGTTTGGTTATATTGGTACAGAATCCACTGAGTGACACAGAAAGAGGAGTCTGAGAGAGTGAAGTTTGGAGGTGCGGCCCAGATCGGCCGAATCTAAATCTGTTACTTTGGCTCCCTGGGTGCCGAGTTTAATCGATGTGGTTCAACAGGCCGACGCCTCCGTGGAGTGTTGATTAACTGACTGTCATGTCTTTGTACTTCAGATCTTGTTTGGCACAAAGCGAGCAAAGTCCAACAAACAGGCACAATCGGATGCCCTTCACAGCTGAATTGCCATTCAGCTCATCTTAGCAGGGAAATACCACAAATTCCTTCTTGGTTGGTAAAGTGTTGTGAAACGGCGCCCTTTAGTTCCACTGTATACACAGCGCACAGTTGACATTTCCACCCATGCAGATCCCTCTTTGGGGATCAGGAGACCAAAATCTCTTCTCGCCACTCATTCAGTTTAACAAAGCTTGGCAAAAAGAGGATTTATCAGCACACTAAGGCAGAGCTAACCTGACTCATGGACGCAAAACAGGCCTTGACAGAGATAAATCTCGATTAATTGGAATTAATTGGATTATTTCAATCCATGTTTGCACTGGATCTTCATCCACAGGGGCGTGGGAAGGAAAGGAGGATGAATGTTGTGACTTTTGGACTGATAATCCCTGTGTTCAGTTGTTGTTGTGGCGACATCTTGTCAAAGCCTTTGTTTCCTCTAAGGGATTGTGTCTCTTATTTTCAGTCTCTCCTGGTTTATTTGCCCGAGCGCAGGGAGTACAGCACGACTTTCTTTTCAATATTTGCCACACTGCTCAGAGCGAGATGTATTTCATAACTCCAGATTTAGCCATGTCGTTTACTCTCTCACTCTTTTCTCTCTTTTTTTTCCTCCAGTCTCACTCATTCCTTCTCCATCTCATGTAAACGACTGATCTGGGACAGACAGGCCTCCCCTGCGCTCTGTCCTACTTCAGCGTTGCCCTCTCTTGTCTCTCCCTTTTCCTTTTCCTGTGTCGCTTACCTCTATCCACCTATCTCTCGGTGACTCGCTCTGTCTTTTTTTTCCATTAATCATTTTACTGTCTGCGCCTGTTTCATCATACC